GATGCGATTTCTGGCGCGCTGAGTATAAAAACATAAGATTTTTATCTTATACATATAACATAAAAATATTGCACACACATCGTATTATGCATCACTTTTATAAGTATACGTATGCTAAAGGGGATTCAATATTGTTACGTGATAAAAGAGTAAAGCCGAAAAATGCGAAACTAGCCAAAAAAGCTTGATAAAATTAAGAGGAATTGAAAAAGTGACGCAGTGTGCTTAGAAGCTGTTCACTCACACCATTTTACAATTTTTCAGTCGTATACTAAGCAGGATTTCGGTTTTATTGGTAAAGGAGAGTTAATTAAAAATGTAATAGTTGAGGTATTACTCGAAAAATGCTAGCAACATAGCTATTATTCAATCTCGCAATTTCCCCCACACATATTTTGTCCCTGACGACTTCAGGAATATACCTACTCTTTCCAGTCATCTAACAATGCTAAATGAGTTCACACTAAGAGTGCTTCACCATGTGCAGCACGCGGTACGCAATGGGTTAACTTTGTCCAAAGCAGCTGGGGGGGGCGGGGGGTTACGAGATTCGAACATCATGCGTATCGTTCCCAACCGGGCAGCTAGCGGGTTACCATAGCTATAACCCGCTAGCTGCCTTGCTGGCCAACATAATGATGGCGTTGTTGTAGGTTGAAGCGTAGAAGCCTGATGCGGTCACGCCCATTGGTTCTGCATAGCTACGCTTTCCCCCCCCCCCTAGCAGATGACTGTTTCTGTTCGAGAGAGGAATCGCTCAAGAGGTATTGAGTCGTCTAAAGGAGATGGTGGACGTCGTGTTGCCCCTGGAATAGTGTTAGCTAGGTTTGAAAACAACCGGCAAATAAAAAAACATTAGCCCAAACTGAACGCGACTAACCATTTCACTGTCTAGGGGATAGTTGGGAAGCGAGCTCTCTTTCTAATTCATTACTTCCAGGAACAAATTCTATGGAGGCGATTGGGCTTCGTTCAACCTAACAACTATCGGTGATTGGGTGGAGCAGCAGCAGGCACGTTTCAGTTTGAAAATTTTGACTACTTCAGACTTGCATTACTTGAGTCTGCAACTAAGGCGATTGTGTAGTTGTCACGTTTAAAGACCACCCAATACGCGGGAGAAGCTGCAGCTGGGTTGCCAGAGTTGCATACTCGGAGAACACAGCTGGCAATAGGATGCTCTCACTGTCCAGGTTATTCTATGTTTCCAGAAACCTGCGGAAGCAGAGCGGATATTTCCAAGTATAACGACAAACTTGGTGATGGTGAATCTCTAATGGCGTTAGGTACGCGAAAAACTGTGCGCAATGTGCATCAAGAATGGATGCCTGCAAGGTAAGTGAGGAAACTGTGAGGCTTCAGAAGTGAAATTCGGGAAATCTTCTTATTTGCTGAGTTTTTCAGTGAATCGATGATGAAGGTTGATAAGGGCGACAATGTTGAGGAGAAGAAAGTTCGTGAAGTGGTGGAATCGGAATGGAGGCGATTTAGCATTGATCTTGTACCGAAGGTTAGTAGACCGCTAAATCTGTTTTGCAACACAGAACTGGAACCCTTTCTTTATGGATGCTTGCCTGTTTTTTTGACACGGAAATCAAGTTTTTTAAAGACAGGGGGACACGCATCGCTGGAGACGGGTCGGCTGTAGCCAGGCGTTGTAGGCGATCAACACCCTCTCGCGGCTCTCCCAGCAACGGCGCTGGCAGCAACTGCCCACCGCCCAGCAGTCGTGCAAATCGCTTCTAGGCTAGCCATACATAGTTGATATCGTTAGTTGATATCGTGGCTACAAATATGAGCGGGTTCAGAGTGTGGTGGGAACGAGCCATCCACGACGTTTTCCGTTGCGTCACTTTATTCCTTGATCGACTTTTAACAGTTCCAACAATCCGCTAGAGCAGCGCGGTGGAAGCAAGCTCATCCCCCTTCCTTGGTACCGCCCCGACTGATTGGTCCTTTATCAACTACATCCTCATCATTACGGACTGTCGGGGCGGGTCAGTGCGGCTGCGTTTTCCGCGGTGCCAAAGTCTTTCTGCACCAGTTGTTGAAGTGAGCAAATGACATGACAGCATTATATCCTTCGTATTACTCGTTTTCTACCACTTTTTGTCGCATACGCGTTTCAACGAAAAGGCTGAGAACGGCTTCAAACAGTGTGCGCACTCCTACTGGCTGATACGCCCGACAGTCCGTAATGAAAAGGAGTAATATGGCAGGCTGCCAGTAAATATCCTTAGATAGGCCCCACTATTGCAGCAAAGTAAACTTGCTAAACATACTCAATGTGAATTGCCAAGTATACAGGGACTGCCCAATTTAAAATAAAAGCGTACTTTTCCTCCTTCTTCACAAGGCTATATGAGTAAATTTTATTTAATTCTGATTGGCGCATTCCCACCATCGATGTTCAACAACACTGCGCGCACTATGCGATACTCCGCCAACAGTCTTTCTGGACGCAGTTCCATCAAGAGATTCTGCCACGCGACCATGATTGGTGCCTGAGTTCAGCGAGGTCCGTGATTTCTCCACCACTGTAGACCACCTCTCTTGAGCCCTCCCAAACCCGGTAATCGAGGGAGTTTAGGTCAGGTGACACACTTGAATAGGTCTGCTCTCTATTCAGGTTTCTCACCCGTCCTTCTGATTTCCAAGTGGCTGAGAATTCTTCCAACACCCTTTGATTCCACGTGCTAGCACCCAATCGACCCAATCGCAGTACGAAGTTTGCAAGATGACAGGCGACGACATGAAAGCAAGATATTTCTCTCGAGTTGGTCGATGTAACCGTCAGTGCTCACTTCCAGTCCAGGGCCCACGAAGAGAATATCGCTCTTGTCATTCCATGTCTCATGCCGGTCCATACCATCACCCGCGCCTTGGACGATTGCGGTGAAGATGATTTCCTTGGACCGTAGCGACTGTTGTTCGGAGCTGCTCGATGTTGGAGGTCTCCCAGATCAAGAGTGTTGGTCCCCAGGATGACTCGATACAAGAAGTTTCGCAGCTGTCTGGAGGGTGATGTGAATTCCAAGGGCGTTCTCCAGTCAGCCTGCGATTGGAGGTGACTTCATATTTCGGTGTACATGAAGGAGATGGACGAGAGCCTTCTCCTGCTTATCGAGGAACATCTTGGGTATCTTCCCGCCCTGGCACTCGTATCCACGTCTTCTTCTTTGCGGTATCTCCCGCCCTGGCACTCGTATCCACGTCTTCTATCTGGGCAGCGAAAACTTTACTGACATGTGACTCGGCCAAAGTGTCTTTTATTATTGCCCCCCCCCCCCCCCCCCCGTAATATGTTGAGCGTTTACCAGCTGTATACATCTTTGAAAGGTTAATCCAGCTAAGCCTGAAATCGAGAATAGCACTAGGGGCGCGCGCAGCAGCACCCAAACCAAGTCGCCTTTCCGGCCTGTATGATTTTAATGCGAAAGGTCTATATCTGATTTTCTAAACTTTTTTTTCAGGTGCTATTAGCTCGTGGGTCCATGGTACAAACATTGTGTGATTCCGAAGTAGCCAAATATGCCGAGTTCAAGTGTGTCGATCGATTCCTTTCTGATTTCGTGACGACAAGAGCGAAAAATTGTCCTTACGTCGGCGCGTCGTTTGCCATGTAGCAAAGGTGACATATTCCAAGCATGAGGACCTTGAGCGTCAGCTGGGATTTCTGGGTTTTGATCTAGTTTTGTTCTTTCTCTGTTTCAAGCTGCCTCTTTGAGTGAGGTAGATGCTTGCTCGCAGGTGTCGATCTTCCTCGGGAGTTTTTTGATTAGCCTTTTGTTCGGTATGTTTGTTGTTATGTATGCCTCCTAAAACAGTGTTCCTATTGCAGAGAATCCACCATCCTGCTTTGGGGTTACGAACAGTATCCACGGTGTCGAAATTAATACAACTATGTTTCAGCATGGTTGATAAGCGCAAACTGATGATATCTATATTCTTTCTGTCTTGAATGGAATTACTAAGGCTGTCATGATTGGAGGATGGAAAGGTGCTCTGCTCCCCTGTTGTCTTTTCAATAGGTCGGATTCTTTTTGAACCAGCGAAAAAAAATTCCGCTACTGTTTTTTCAGAATACCAAGATGAACCCTTCGAAACATTCCTTGAATCTCAAGAGATTACTGGAGAGCTTCGCAGTTACATTGCAGATGCTATTGGAATTTTGCATCCCAATGCAACTACAGATTGTAAGCGATGCCCCTCACTGTTTATCATTTCATTCCTTTTGCCGGGTCGCGCGGAGCAGGGAAACCACACACATTTTGCCCACAAACAACAATGGCCTTTTTTTCAAACGCTGTAAAGAGCTAGAAAGGGAGGCGACCCTGCCACCAATAGTCTCCTGGGCTTCTTGCCTATCCTTACAGCCTCGAGCGTCTTTTAATGTAAGCTGTGTCGTATCTGAGCAGCTCTGTGTATAGCCTTCGTAATGCTAGTGATCCCAGTTGTGCCTGAGTTTGTGAACAGTGAATTGCTGTAATTAAGGGTCTGACAGCTGTGTGCCGCTTTGTTGATTCAGTTTGGACGGTTTGGGACCATCGGCCCATTCTTAACGCGTCATCTATTATGCGAAGTGGTTGAAATTCCTCAGTGCCTTCTGCGTCGTTTGCCGCCAGTATTTGGAGGCCTTTACTGCCTAGGAAGGCCTGTGGAAGCATTGATCGAGAAAGATGGCAAGTACGTCAGATCCAGGTTTCCTTGAGAAATCTATAGATTCCGAAAGTCTGATTTCCTGTTCCAGAGTTGTTGCTGTCATTGCGGATGGACATCGTGTCAACTGTTCCCATTTGATTATGTCATCTGAATACGTGCCATCTAAAGTGGCATCACAAGGACCAGAAAAATGGATCGATAGAGCTGTGTATATAACGACATAATCGATTTAATGGACGGGAAGGAAAAGCGAGCATGTAGGTTTCCTAATGTATAAGCTTTCTTCTAACTATAAGAGTGAGAATAATTATTCCAAATATGATCGTATCTGTGAGATAAGGAGGTGAGATGGCTGGCGGTTAAGTCAGTGAGGAGGCAGTCTGTGCATTAGAGTAGTCGTGCGAGCAGGGGACATCGTAATATGCAGCGCTGGGCTTGGCGAACGACGCCGCGCATGCGAGAGACATGTTGTCCTGTACGGCCGTTTGAATTCGAATTAAGTCTGGATTTCTGAAAAGATTTGTATCAGTAGGCATGTAATCTTCCCCCGCTTGAATTTACATGAGTTTCGTTGCTCCAATCCACAAACATCAAGGAAAACTCTGCAGCTCTGCACCACGCGCGATTGTTGCGGACTGTATTACGATTGTCTTGTCCGGCCTTTTCGCGATGAGACGAGCGCGGCGACGGCGCGAGAAAGCCAACACCTCTCACTCTCTCTGCCGCGAGCGCTAAGCGCTCCACAGTTGCGTGAAATTGTGCGAGCCGGAAATGGGTTGCGCGCTTAGCCAAGTCCATTCCTGCCTGAACACCCTCACTGCACTAAAACGAGTTCTGTAATTAGAATGGAAACGGCCCCTCCCTCATGTCTGGGAACTCGTAGGGTATAGGAGGAAAAACCGTGATTAAGGCCGTTGATGGACAGGCCACGCCAAACAACAACGAAAATGGCCGATATTTGCAGGTATATTATTAATATGTTTTCAAGGTGACCTTGTTGAACCTATTCCAACTGGGATCCACCATCAGCTCTACGTTTGATCGAAGAAGGATTCGAAGTCTGTACAGCTCCAAAGGGATTCTGTAAGTTGATGTGGTTCAGTGAAGTGTTAGTAAAAAATGCTCGTCAAAAGCACATTACCATCTGAGGCGTTGTAAAAGGATGTGAATGTTCACCCCCCATGTTAGCGTATTCGATTTTTGACGGTAGTATGGCTGACATACTACGCTTTGCTGCTGCCTTGACTGCAACGCGTATACCTTCATATGTTGTGACCTTGTTGTTTTCATGGTTGCGGCTTCAAACTGATTAGCTGAATGGTAAGGCTGCAAGTTTTCTTGAATCGTTCAGATCTCGTCCATTTCACTGGTGGAAGAAAAGCATCTGACGAACCGTCGATTCCAAAGATTTGTCAGCGAGTTTTTGGGGAACCTGATAGCGGTGAGTTTCTTCGAACCTGTTCTATTTTAAACTTGGCAGCAATAAACGTCGCTGTCCAGAAGAAAGAATATTTTCAGAAAGGCCATCTCCATGTTGGTCTCTTCATTTCGAAGTGTTGACAACGGCATCCCTTGAATTACCGATGGACAATGTTGTCTGTGTGTCGGGTCCTGATCATGCATTGGATTACGCGACATCGATTGATGAGGTATGAACAAACCAGCTGGTATCACCTCCTGTCACCCACCCTCCCCCGAATTTGTTCCCGTCCTGCCGTGTATGACTCAGCTTGTCGGTCATCCTATCTTTTCTGCGACGCTCGCCTTATGAGTGACACAGACAGACTGCACACATAAACAGATAAACACGCACACACTGACAGACGATACTTAGCGAGATTCATATATAGTTAGCATCGGGCTGACTTATTTGACGTCTACGCTATCAAATCTTGTGTGACTCTTTGAATGTAAAATGTCGTGCCTTTGAAGACCAATGCGTGTACCTGAGAGATGAATGTCTATGTAAATGGTGGGCAGACCGACGGCATGTCCCTTGAGAGCTCATAGTAGTGGAGCTCGAAGCTTTCGACTGCTTGATGGTTTTTTGGTCTGGCGCTCAATCCAATAAAGCCGTGATGCGCTCTGACGACTGTGCCCTGATTGTGGAGATAGTAGGCGATTGCTTTTTTAATAGTGTCGATGAGGTGACTTTGCAACATCACCGATCACCTGTATCACCTGTGCTCCCGTTGATCATCGAGTTCCTCGAGCGGGCGCCAGTAACGTCTCCATTCGTCCCTGCAACGTGCAAGAGTTGCCCAATGAACTCTCTCAGCTCGAGGGACACGATGAACTTCATACCGTTCGTTCAGAGCTTTCACGAAGAAGTCTGACCATCGCATAGGCGGTCGTCCAGGCGTTCGCTTGACATCCCGTGGAATTCCAGTCGCCGTGGACTGCCCTCTGGCTCCAGCGTGTCGTTCCTCAAAACGCATTAACGTGTTCGGCCCACCTGATTTACGAACCTGGCAAATACGGCGCTGCTACCCACGTCTCTGATCTTCGATCGTTGGCGGAGTGCGGAGCTCCGGATTCCCTCTCTCACTTGCGTGTAGCGGGAAACTCCGAGCATCGCCCTTTCGATGGCGCGTTGAATAACGCCGACCGCATGCTCATCCTGCTTTCGTAGAGTCCAAGTCTCTGAGGCGTACGTCAAGGCAGGAAGGACCGCGGAATCGAAGAGGTGGGCACGGAGCTTGGTGTTCTTCGTCTTCTTCGCTACTCCCTCGATGTTCTTGAAGGCTCCCCAAGCCGCTCGCTTCCTCCTGCTCAGCTCTGGAGCTAGGTCATTCATCATATTGATTTCACGACCTAGGTACACATAGCTAGAGCATTCAGAGATGGTCCGATCCGACGATTCCGACCGATTTTTCCACACGAAATAGCCAGCATTCGCTTTCCGCTTGCTCGATGTGTTATGTTATCAAAACGATGTCGTCAGCAAAGCGGAGATGGTGTAGTTGCCGACCGTCGATCTTCACTCCCATGTCTTCCCATTCCAGTTGACGCATGACGTTCTCGAGAGAGGCGCTGAAGAGCTTGGGCGAGATGGTGTCGCCCTGTCGGACCCCTCTCTTCACATCAATGATGATCTCCTTGTAGAATGGTGAGATCTTGGTCGTGAAGTTGCTGTAGAGCTCACGAAGAATCCTGATGTACTGAGTAGGAATACCCTGGTTGCCCAGGGCTTCGATAACCGCTTCTGTCTCAACGGAGTCGAAGGCCTTCTTCAAGTCGATGAACGTGAGACATAGCGGCATCTTGTACTCTCGCGATACTTCGATGAGCTTCGTTACCGTGTGGATGTGATCGATCGTGCTGAATCCTCTTCGAAACCCTGCTTGCTCGCATGGCTGTCCTTCGTCTAGTGTTCTGCCAATCCTGTTCAGGATGACTCGTGTGAAAAGTTTGTAGACTACAGACAGCAGGCAGATTGGGCGATAATTGCCAATGTCGTACAGGTCTCCTTCTTGTACAGCAACACAGTCTTGCTGGTTTTCCACGAGGTGGGTACCTTGCATTCCGACAGGTAGCGCGTGAAGAGTCGAGCCAGAGTTTTTGTTGATAACTGCTGTTTTACGCCGCAGTGCGCGATACGAAAGTTATCACAAGAATGCTGAGTTGTGGGCAAAAGTCGGACCACGGGCGGGACTCGAACCCGCATCTTCTGCTTACCGGGCAGTTGCGTTACCACTTACGCTACCGTGCGTAAAGTGGTAACGCAACTGCCCGGTAAGCAGAAGATGCGGGTTCGAGTCCCGCCCGTGGTCCGACTTTTGCCCACAACTCAGCATTCTTGTGATAAGAGTCGAGCCAGAGTTTTGACGAGAACTGGCGGAAGATTCTTCAGATGTTCGGGTCTGATCCTGTCGGGACCGGGTGCCGTACGATTCTTCACCGACGAGATGGCGTGTCGGACTTCGGAAGAGAGAACTGCAGGAACGACATATCCATCCTGCCC